AAACAATTTTTATGAAAGACTTAGGTCTTGCCCGATATGATACTTGCCGAAGTGAAAATCACTAGAGACACTAGAGGAAGTTATCCTTGGGTCGTGTTCTTCCAACAGTATAGAAATGTGATCAATTCAACCGTTTCATAACTTTAAAGATCTGTTTCCACACCATAGGTGATTCTTCTAATACCCTTGCAGAAAAATGAAGGTGAACCTGTCTCTCAATTTGAAATATTCCAAATGATTGGATCCGCTTTTATACATATCAACCGCGACTAGACCGATATAGCTTACGTCGCTGTTAGAGATTGAGTCGCGCCTATACCAGGTAACCTAACCAGGATCATTGGTTGCCGTTAGAAGAGTATTTAAATACTTTAAAAGGGACAGTTTGACTATTTGAATTTAACTGTCACACTGGATACCTGATGCCCATTGAAGTATGAGTGACGCCCAATTGGCGTCACATGATCTCCAACAGTGTAAATGTCAACATTCTTGGCTCATGTTATTTCTTTTTTGGTGGTGCTGCCTGTAGTCCTGGAAATCCATGTAAGCAAACAGTTAATGCAGGAGCAGCCTATGGAATCTGAATTGATGCACTATGACTACTACTTGCTCAGGAGAGTCCGCGCAAGTCGGTTAAAAGGATGCTTATGCTACTCGAACATTCCTTTCGGTCCCTAAACCTTTTCCTCCACATTTCCATTCATTCTGATTCTAGATCTACTCATAGATCTTCCTAAGAGCCAATGTACATGTAAAGTAAAAAAATAACATATCTCAAAATAAGATATAGTCTGTACATGGCTGTTAGGCAAAGTTGGTGATCTTGGATTTATGTAAAGTCTGAGAAAAATATTGCTGACCCTTTGACTAAGTGATTTATCCAGGAGTGTATCCCTGGATTCATTCCAGGGAGATCGGGCGTTAAGTCCATTAAGATTCAAAACAGAAACAAGCCCGATGACAGTTGGAAACCCACAACCCCTTATTGCGAGACGTTAGTCCAAACTGTCGGTTCATATGTGGTAGAAACAAGCTGGACTAGTTGATGAGCTCGGGTGGAGCCGGTGACCCATACTATATATATTTCATATATCCACTTATGCCTAGGTGAGCTAACTTACCCGCTTCTCTATTATGCACGATGCTCCTGATGAGTTACAGCTTGGTTAGGCCCTGACGTTTTAGCTCTTATTAAGTCAACTCACTGTATTATTGGGGCGGTATTAAATAAACAGTGTAGTACCTTTGAGACTTACCTACGTGAGAGGAATCGTGATGGCCGCCGCGGTTGCGCGGGGGCTGGACTAAACTAACCCTAGAAACTCTCATGAGTCGTTTATTGTGAGCATGGCTTTCTTTAACGCTCAACCCGCTTTGCTCAATAGATGAAGGTTGATCTGTGTGTGTTTTTTGTCAATCAACCTGATTCAAAGGCCTAATCAAGGGCCTTTAGTCCATTTTATGTCCCTCAGCGTGGCCCGACAAACTCACTAAGGAACAGGTTCCAAAGCCGGAAAGCTACCTTTTCCCGAATTTCACGATACAAAATGTTGCCAACCGTAGCTATTATATATATATACTAATTATTACTACTATATATTACATATATTACTAGTATATATATATATATATATACTATATATATATATATAATATACTATACTGATAGTAGTATATATATTTATATACGTATATAGTTTTACTAAGTTGTTTGTCAATATTGCCTTTTGCGGCGGGGACTGCTTTAGGCATTTTCTGTAAGGAAAAGGCAAGTTGCTGAATAGTCCCACATTTGGAAGTTGCAAGAGAAGTTCAAGCTGTTTATAATGGTTCACTTCCCTATGCGGCTGATGGAGTATGTTTTGGGCGCTATTAGTGTTTGTGTCTTTTCTCCACACACGCCGCGCGCGTACGCACGCCACGCCTCGCCTCCCGGCCTTCGCCTCGCCTCGCCACGACACGACGCGCGCGCCACGCCACGCCCGCCACCGCTCACGTCGGCGTTTGCTTCTCCAAGCTTTTATTTTTGTAACTGGCAGCATTTATTATGTAACCGCAGCATTTTATTATGTAAACGCGCCCGTCGATTTGACGCCAACGCGACGGGAGATTTCAGCATCGGTTACGTGCGTTCACTGAGCTATTATAGGAGGCAGAGTTCATTCGGGAAAACACACAGAGAATTCACAAAGATTTCTAGCCTCCCTCTTCCTCTTTCTAGCTACTCTTAGTACTGAAAGATTTTCGGCTACATATTTTCTTTGAGGATTATTTCTTGGGCAATCATTCTTCATTCTGAAGCAGAAAGCTCTGCCCTACTCGCGCCGCGAGTAGAGAGGCGCGTTTCCGGGGGCTTTTACCGCTAGGGGGGACGGATCATTTACTACGCTCATAGTTGGCGACTAGGCGGGTCTCTTATCTCCTAGGCTATGTGATCACTGCTGCATACCCGTCCCCCCCCCCCCTCCCTCCCCCCCCTCCCCCCCCCCCTCCCGTTCAGGCCTGTTTTTTCATAACTCATTTATTTTCAGTTAAACTAATATTGTTTATTTTGATAGCAGATATGCCATCAACCACAGAACAAGTGTTTCCTCTGTTAATCCTTAAATTAGGATAGAATCGTACCAAAATCAATCGGGAACGGTGGCATGACATATTGTCTCATGTTTACCCTGTGATAACGCAGAGCTTATCCTGGCCACATATTCTCGTCAATCCTTACATCACGTCGTCCCGTGTGCTGTCCGGTGGTTGCGGTTTGATTTTACTTGAGAGCTCATAATTGTCAGGTTACTACAAGATCTGACAGAATCAATTCTTTTATGATATATATATAAAAAAAAAATTTATGGCTGTTAGAATACACGTCATTGTCACCTTACCGGCGAAACAAAAAAGTTTTTTCTTTTTGGGACCGTTTAGTTGATAGCCAGTGGTAGAAGTAACCAATAAATTAGATTTATTATGGAGTAGAATAAGAAAACTTTTATTCCTAAATTGACTCAATTTTAGCTATCTATTTTCGAGCTTTGAGGAGAGGAAAAAGATTCAAGAAGTAAAGATGACATGTATGTGTCGTGTTAGCTTTAAAGAAAGTACTGGAAGTAACTTTTCCAGAGAAGCAAACATATTTTTCTTCTCAAAAGTATCAGAAATAGCTCATACTTTTTTTCCTGCAGTTATTTCATAACTACTTCCGTGCAAATAAAAGGGCTAATGGATTCCCTTCTTGAAATGCTAATCCTGTGTGCCAACGTTCGTGCGATGGCCGTTGAAATCTTTGTCCATCAGCTAAAATTGGGAGTTTATCTCAGGATAAAAGAGTCTAAAAATCTTAACTCAAGAGGTCTATCTGCAGTAGTGAAACAATAGGGTAGTAAGCAACAATACTAAGACATGGTTTGGCAAGAGAGAAGGGACAAAACTAAAAACCATTTTTGGTAATGTGAGGTGAATTAAGAGACAATAAAAAAATGAAAGAGAATTAGACAAAGAAGAATTCCCCAAATTTTGGAGGATTTCCTTATCTTAGGGGGTGTTAGTCAATTGGAACATTTTCATGCAAAATTGGATAATTGTTAAAGTGGAATAATTTGTCACTAGTGGGATATTTTAGTGGGATAAATAGGAACAATTTTGTAAAACAGGATATTTTGATAAAATAACATGCGATAACTTTTTATAATCATGAAATATATATGTATGCATTTTGAATACATAAATACTATTTATGTATTTTAAACTTACTATTATTTATTATTTATTGATAATTACTTACAAGAATGTTCTTTACTATTAATTAAATAAATTTTGGTTAGACTATAAGATATTGACATTATTATTATAATAATGGTCTAATGATGGTGATAACCATAGTAGGAAAGAAGTAAAGAAAAAAAAATAAATATAAAAAATAAAAAAACAACAAAATAAACATGAGTTCTAGTTTTTTACCACCTAGTTCCAAACTAAAATTTGGAATAATTTGAGAGACTAGAACTCTCATTTTTGTATAGAAAAATAAAAAAGGGGATAGTTTTATATCATTATCCAATTCTAGTTTTGTTAGAGTTCTACTTAACTAACACTGTAAAATTTTGTTCTAGTTTTAGTTCTATGTGGCTAACACTTTAAAAATTTATCTCACATATTATCCCAGTTCCAATTTTAATTTCTAGGTGACTAACCCCCCCCCCCCCCCCCTTTTTTCCGACCAAACATGCATGAAAATTAAAAGAGATGTTCATCCCTCTACCTCATTTCATCTCATCTCACACGCACATTGCCTCTTCAAATTGAGAAAGTATATATTCAATAGAGACGATCCTTGACATTAAATATGTAATCAAAGAATGTCAACCATTGAATTTGTGTACGAACCCCGAAATCCAATGATCCAAGAACTGACATTCATGGTGCATATTTAGTGTCATGGACGTAGATGCACTTGGATACACTAGTAAAAAAACAAAGTATTCTAGACGGAATTTTTTTTATCTAGAATAGCCAAATTTTCGTCTAAATTGATCATCCTAGACAGAATTCCGTCTAGGATGTTGGTCTAGTAAGTTTCTGTCGAGAATGTGTCATTCTAGACAGAATTTTGTTTAGAAAAACCATCCTAGATAGAAATGCATCCTAGACGGAACAAAATACCATCTAGAATATTTCTAGACAAAAAAACAATCGTCTAGGATAATCCTAGATGGAAATTCTGTTTAAGATGTATCCTAGACATAAATTCCATCTAGGATATTCATCCTAAACGGAATTTCCGTCTAGGATCCTAAACGTAAATTCCGAAATTTCTGTCTAGGATGTAGTATTATATATATATATATAATATTTGCTCCTATACGACCACACTAATCCACTTGATTATCAACAATATCTGATTATAGACTCGAATACAATTCTCCTCAACAATAATACAAATTGTAAAACTTTATAAAAAATAAGTATATTATTGAATGTCACAAAAATCGAAAGTACAAGTATCAGTGTAATTCTCCTAACAATTAGAAAAAAGATAGCATACAATTTAATGTTCGCCAATATCGAAATAAAAAATCAGTACAATAACAAAAATTGTAAATTATTATGAAAAGTGAGTACAATTGCATGACTCATCTGCATCTCCTTCTCGAGAATCTCTAGCATTGTAAACCTTAACATTGACGGCAGCGGTGGAGTCGAAGAAGGGGGCGACAGGGAGGTGCTCGTGGCACATCTTCAAGAGCCTTTCTATGCTGGAACTTCACCGTGTTGCCTCTCCTTTAAGAGTTTCATCAGCAACCTATGTCCCATGTCAACCTTCAATTACACATTCTTATAAGTATAGCTAAAACTATGTTAGTATATATTTCAAATAATTATCCTATGATTTACACAAGCCATGGAAAATTCCAATAAATCTCTTAACGTAACATTTTTCTTTCTGATTTTTAATTTTTAGTCAAATAATCATTTGCAAGCTAATAGTCATATACATGTTTGTTCAAGAGTACAGATAGATCACATATCTTCTATATGGTCATAGTTTATTTCGTCTAAGTTAATTTCTCAGAAAATCAAATAGAAGAATTAAACTCTCATTTGTAAATTTTAAGAGACACTTATATGAATGCTGCCATTCATATAAGTGTTACAAAAAGCTATAAAGAGCACAAATAGCAATAAAGAGCTCGAAACATCCAGAAACATGGGCTGACAAACAAGTCTTATCTTATACTAGAAAATGAGATGTAAAGAACACAAATAGCAAAACAAAATGGGATGCAAAGAACACAAATAGACTATATTTCAGCCCATAATAACTGCAATTATCAAGCTGGCTGCATATATTTGTGCTCAATGCATCACTTTGGATATTTGTGTCTAGTTATGTTATATGTCACTCAATTAGGTCTAGAGAAGCTTGGATGCTAATAACCTCCATAACCATATCTACATCTCTGAACTCTGAGTTATCAAGTACACACTTGAGACTGACAAAGCCTTGCTCAACTTATCCTCCAACAAGGATCCTTTCTGCACTAAGCCTTCAAGATTTGCTGGCATACGGATTCACGAACAACATTGTCAGAAGCATGCAATTTACTTGACCAAAATACGAACAAGTGATTGTGTTCAAAAAAATATAGCTAATGCTGACTATTAGTAAATATATTTATGAGAAATTCAGACTATATTGTACACGTTAAGATGTTCCTGATTGGAACAGGAAAGGACATAGAAAATGCCTGCACGGACTGAGAATTTAGCCATTCAAACAACCACCTGCTACTGATTTCAATCCCTTCTGCGGAAATGTGGTAGCAATTTCCTTGAGAACGCGGAAATGTGTAAATTTTAAGATAACACGAGACATTTTTTTTTATGAATACACATAAATAACTGTGAGTGATTGTAATTCTATATTAAAAGAGGTAGTTATACAATAGAAAGGTATTATACAACTAAAAGAAACAAGTTGATAAACCTAGAAATCAAATTGAATTACTAAGAGACATTCTATCAAATAGTCAGCTTGCAACTCCTAAATTAACAAATAGGCAAAGAACTTACACAGTAATAAACCCAAAATCAAGGCGAACAGCTCCTTGGAAACAGGGTCGAGCTTCGGGTGAGCGATCATGGCGGAGCTAAGCTGCCCATCGAAATCGTACCCCCCGACGGTCCCGAGGTCGCTGGAGCCTGTATGCAGACTTGGTACGGGAGTTCGTCCTCTGACATCACCAGCATGCGGTCACTGAAGTAGATGAGGCCGGCGTTGGCGACGCCAGTCCCGTGCGAGGGGTCGACCAAGCCCAAGCCGAAGAGGCCCCTGGCGTAGAACAGGAGGAGCCTGGCGATCCCGTCGCCGTCGAAGAAGTGGTGTCCCGCAACGGGTTCGAACAGGGTTGGTGTCGTTGCCGACGTAGACGCTGTCGATGAAGGTGGGGATGCGGCCGGCGATGGAGAGGAGGGAAGCTCAAGGTTTGGAAGTTTTAGAGAGAGGGGGATGAAAATTTTGAGAGAGTTTTGTTGGGGAATTTAGTCTCCCCACCTATTATAATCTGCGCAACTCGGAAGCCAACCACAATCAAGAATAAATAAAATGCTCACAATCAAGAAGAAAGAACACCGAGATTTACGTAGTTCGGTCGACCAACTTCGACCTACGTCCACGGGCAACAATACGATAAATCGATTATGTATCAGGGAGAACTATAATTAGAACCACTCAACTCTCGTCTCTCAATCTCTCAACCTCACATACATAATCAACTCTCATATTATCTCCAAAGCCCTCTATTTACAATTTTTTGAACGGACAACGACTGCGAAACGCAAATCAACCTTGCTTGTCCTCCCAACTTAAGCCTAACAATAGCCCTCTACTTACGTAGTTCGGTGCACCTCTCCTACTCCACACTACGAGCCGGATGCCGCTATCTCCTCTATCACTTGACTTGGACTGAATATGAGCGCTCATCGTCTTCAAGTCTAATGTTACCATCTCCATCAGCATGTGTATCATTCAGTCGTTCCTGCTTGTAAGCTCCACCTAATATGGCACTGTCTACCTCGAGTATACACACCTACTAACTCCTGCTCCTGCAATAACTCCGAATAATTATATGCTGACAACTCTATTGCTAGAATCATGTCTGATTCTCTACACAAGTCTCATCCGTCGCATACTCGTTTTCTCTATCTGTCATCAGATCTGTCTGGGTACCACCATCAGAACTTTTCAGCACTTTCTAACTAATCTGAATAAAAACTAAAAAATCAAACTCTCCCATCGTGTTTGGAGCACTCCAAAACTTAGGAATCGACTTCTAGATCGCCAAAATCCACCATTGATTTAGCCATCTACTCACCAATAATTCTAGACCGTTTGATTTGGATTTAAGATAAATCCAACCAACCAAACGACAAATAGCAAAAGAGATGCACACCCGATCCTATCACGTGAACTTCTTCTGCTGCTATTGATTTCACCTGTCATTTTTCTTTTGCACGAAAATCCACACAAATAATCCAACTTCTTATTTCACGTGAACAGCTCACGTGCTCAACACCCACGTGAATGCAAAACACCAAACACCAAAATATGACCTAACACGAGATCCCCAACAACTCCTTTCCTTCTCATGCACGGAACCAGAAACCTACGAACTTATCCCTATCGCGGACTAAATCTAGAATTCTCACACGCCTGAGAACCGCTTGCGACGTCACCACTATGCAATCACCTGCAGTTAAGTTCTCTTGTCGCTGCTGATTGTTGTATCCTCGATTACGGAGATCTCATGAACCCTTGAACCTCGCTCTTACCGCCACTCGGCCTTCTTTTTCTTTTTCTTTTTTTTCTTCTTGATTCTTGTAACGTTGATATTCAATCTTGCACAACGTCATCTTCTATCTTGCGAACTCGCTCCCGGATCCATCAACATAGCTATGATACCACTTGTTGGAAAATTTTAGTCTCCCTATCTACTACAATCTGCGCAACTCGGAAGCCAACCACAATCAATAATAAAGAAAATGATCACAATCAAGAAGAAAGAACGCCGAGATTTATGTGGTTTGGTTGACCAACTTTGACCTACGTTCACGGGCAATAATACGAGAAATCCACTATGTATCAGAGATAACTACAAGAGGAACCACTCAACTCTCGTCTCTCAATCTCTCAACCTTAAATACATAATCAACTCTGATATTATCTCCAAAGCCCTCTCCTTACAATCTTTTGAACAGATAAAGACTGTGAAACCATCTCCTAATGATGTAATTTTTTGCACGGATAAAGATTGCGAAACTCCCGCCTCTCGCACAATATTCTTGAATCAGGTTACGCCCTTTGCTAACTCTAGATTACAAGAATATTGGTTCTCTCTGCTTGGTTTTTCCTCCAACAATGGAAGAATATATATAGGGAAACCAAAACTCTATCTTTGACCTAACTTCCTAATTAGAATAGGATTCAAAGGATTTGGATCCTCTCCACTACATAAAAGTAGTGAAGAGACCGCTACTTTTAATCTCAATCATTGATTATTTAGTGGGCGATTATGATACAATCTAAATCTAATATTTACCATACCCCCGTGTATTTCACTCATTCCTAATTTGCACTAAAAGAAAAAATCACAACCATCAACTAGATAATCAATGATTATGATTATGTAGTGGTCCCTCCACTATTTTTTTGTAGCGGAGAGGATCCGAATCTGGATTCAAACTCCTAATCATGATGAGACTCAATCTCCTAATCATGATAGATCTCCAACCCTATCTAATTCTCATGAATTTATACAAAAAATCAAAGACACAATCCTAACAAGTTTTTGATAAATAAGGGGGAAATATTTCGAGCCGCGAGAATTGGAATTTTGAAGCCCGCTCATGCCGAGAAAATGAAAATTAATATTTTTAATTTTTGGGTCACTTTCCATCTAGGAACCTACCATAGATAGAAATTCCGTCTAGAATAGCGGGGACCACAAATAATTAAAAATAGTTAATAAAATCTGTCTAGAATGCTCACATTCTGGAAGGAAAAAATTCTGTCTAGGATGCTCAGATTTCTACTAGTGATATTTTTCTCTCAAACCCCCTATCAAGCTAGAAGGGAGTCTACGTGCAATTAACTCTAATATTTACATATCTTAAAGCTATCTCATTTTGCATTTATTTATTCTAAGTTGCATTTTGCAAAAGTCTTCAACCTATCCCTTTCCTCTATTTCCGTCCTATAATCTCTCTCTCTCTCTCTCTCTCTCTCTCTCTCTCTCTCTCTCTCTCCTCCTCTCCTTCTATCTTAACCAACAACAACAAGCCATCACACACGATTTGATAAAAGATGGAAGACAAAGAAGCTACACCATCTTCATCGCCATCCTCCTCCTCCTCGTCCATCTGTTGCATGTG